CAACACTGGCCCCGGAAAATACCACTTCATACTTCTGAGCGTTTGTCGGAGTTGCACAATTACCCTTTTCAATGGTTGCACAGGATTTTCTTCTAAAATGGGCTCACTGTGGGCCTGGCACCATAGTTCAGTTGCTAAATCCTCATGTTACAGAGCTGGGATCCCATAGGGGCACAAGTTCTGATCCCAGCAGCTCCACTTCCCATCCAGCTCCCTGCCTGTGGCCTGGGAAAGCAGTCGAGGACGGCCCAAAGCTTTGGGACCCTGCACTCGCGTGGGAGACCCGGAAGAGGTTCCCAGTTCGCAGATTCAGATTGGCTCAGCTCTGACCACTTGGGAAGTGAGCCAGCAGAGAAAAGATACTTCCCGTATCCCATTCTCTCTGTAAATTTTCATTTCCAATAAAAATAAGAAAATCTTTTAAAAAGAAAAGAAATCCTCGGCCCAGCCCCTCAGGACGAGCTTATTTGGAATGTGGTTTTATCAAGGTAACCGCGTTACAGGGAAGGCACTAGGATGGGCCCAGATGCCCTGGGATGGAACCACCCCTTTGCCCTTCTGTCTCTCCTCTCTATTTTTGATCTGCCTTTCCAATAAAAAAAAAAAAAATTCGTAATTTTTTTTTTTTTTACAAAAGCCTTTCATCTCCTTTCCCAAGGGCTCCTCCTCCAAATCCTTGGTTTCTTTCTTTTTTTTTTTTTTTTTAAGATTTATTTATTTTTTTTATTGGAAAGGCAGGTATACGGAGAAGAGGAGAGACAGAGGAAGATCCTCCATCTGATGATTCACTCCTCAAGTGACCACAACAGCTGGAGCTGAGCCAATCTGAAGCCAGGAGCCAGGAACTTCTTCCAGGTCACCCACGCAGGTGCAGGGTCCCAAGGCTTTGGGCTATCCTCCACTACTTTCCCAGGCCACAAGTAGGGAGCTGGATGGGAAGCAGGGCCGCTGGGATTAGAACCAGCGACCATATGGGATCCTGGCAGATGCAAGGCGAGGACCCCAACCACTACACTATCGTGCCGGGCCCCCTTGACTGCTTTCATAAGCCACAAGCAAGGAGCTGGAAGATAAGTCGCACACCCAGGATTAGAACCAGTGCCTGTATAGGATCCCAGCTTGTGCAAGACGAGGATTTAGGTACTTAGTCATCGCGTTGGGCCCTGGATCACTGTTTATACCCAGTTTTCTTCTATGGCAATGAGTTTGTCTTAAACTCAAATGTTAGCAACTTGTGCTAAATCAGACCTGTGCTTCCCCGCGCGGCAAGGCCGCTAAAGGCCACAGGGTGGCGCCAGAGACAGCGTCCTTGAGCATTCTGGTGCGTATACAGACTTGCATAATGCTACTTTATTTTGGGTCGTTTTGTTTGTTTGAAAGATAGAATGTGGCAAAGAGAGGGGAAAACAAGAGACCTTCCATTCTGTTTTTTTTTTTTTAAGATTTATTTTTATTGGAAAGTCAGAATTACAGAGAGGAGAGACAGAAATCTCCCATCTGCTGGTTCACTCCCCAAAGGCCAGAGTTGAGCTGATCTGAAGCCAGGAGCCAGGAGCTTCTTCCATGTCTGCCACGTGCATGCTTGGTCCCAAGGCTTTCGGCCGTCCTTGACTGCTTTCTCAGGCCACAAGCAGGGAGCTGGATGGGAAGCTGAGCAGCCAGAATACAAACCATAGCCCCATATGGGATCCTGATACATGCAAGGCGAAGACTTTAGTTGCTAGGCTACCGCACCCAGCCTAAGATCTTCCATTCTTAAATCCTGTCCCCAAATACCAGACCAAATCTAGGAGCCAAGAACTCCTCCTCTGGGTCTGCCAGGTGGGTGGCAGGGTCCCCAGGACTTGAGCCATGCCCCGCTTCCTCTCAGGGAGTGCATGAGCGGCAAGCTGGCCAGGGAGTGGTGCTGTGACGCGGGTGTAAGTGTGCACACACCTGCCTGATGTGTGGGCCTCTCACTCCTACGGAAGCTGCTTCCTGAAGTCTGTTCAACACTGCTGACCTTCACGCCGCACATGCGCATCTGTGGGCTCCGGAAGGTGTGCGGGCTCACTTTATAGAAAAACTGGCAGAAATGGGCAGAGGAATGCTCTGCCAGGGCCAGGGCCACGAACACAAGCCTCAGGCCAGCGGCTGTGGCAGCGGGGAGATAGACTCCAGCTCTTCCCGCCTACAGCGCTGGCTGCTGCTCCCACCCACGGCTCCCTGGCCCACGCTCCTCCTGCGTGTTTCCTTTTCGCCATCCTCTTCTCGGACTCTGTCCTTTACTGTAGGAGTGCTGTGCGCACGTGTGTGTGCAGGCCCGTGTGTTGCCTGGGCCTCGTGGATGCCGTAGTCGCCCAGCTTTCCAGCGTGAAGTTCTGTTGACCTGGGATTTTCTTCACCCTGCTGATCTGTTCTAGAAATTCCCACAAGATGGCCTCATTTCCAGCGGGGGTTCTATAAATACGAACCCATCAGCTGCTGCATCGCAGTACAGTGGCAGCCCTGCGGTCTGTGACTAATTAATTACTCTTGCTAAAATATTAAGTAACTGTTCGTTCTACTGTCTGAAGGCTTTGAGCCTTGGCCATGCACTGTGATCATTCGTTAGCTAAAAGGACAATGTCCTTATTTTAATTTTTTTAAGATTTATTTTATTTTTTATTGAAAAGTCAGAATTATAGAAAGACCTTCCTTCTGCTCGTTCCCTCCCCAAGTGGCCGCAATGGCTGGAGCTGAGCCCATCTGAAGCCAGGAGCTTCTTCCAGGTCTCGGCTTTGGGCCGTCCTCCACTACTTTCCCAGGCTACAAGCAGGAAGCTGGATGGGAAGTGGAGCAGCCAGGATCTGACACCCATACAGGAACCCAGAAATTGAAGATCTCTTGAGCCACTGTGCAGGCCCCTAGGAGATTTTTTAAAGATTTATTTGGCGGGCAGCTAAAGTCGTCTACTTGAACACACCGGGATCACCGGTTCTAATCCCAGCAGCTCCGCTTCCCATCCAGCTCCCTGCTTGTGGCCTGGGAAAGTAGTCAAGGACGGCCCAAGGCCTTGGATCCTGCATCCGCATGGGAGACCTGGAACTATTTCTGGGCTCCTGGCTTTGGATTGGCACTGCTCTGGTTGTTGCAAACACTTGGGGAATGAATCATCGGATGGAAGATCTTCCTGTCTCTCCTTCTCTCTGTATATCTGACTTTGCAATAAAAATAAATAAATCTTTGGAACAAAGGAAAGAATATATACGAATGGACTTCCTTGTAACCAAGAGGGCAGCTGATTTGAGGAACCTGACCGATTCAGATTCAGCTTATAGCCCCAGAGCTGACTGGGCTTCTGACTTCGAGCAAAGTGTTTAACTGAGTCTCAGCTTACAGGCTAAAAGTGAGAACGATAACACAGCCTCTCCGGCTGCCACAAGGGCTGGACAAAATGGCTGTTCCCTTCCATCCACTTGCCTGCTTAAAAAGCTTCATTTTGAAAGGCAGAATTACAGGGGCAGAAGGAAAAAGTATTGGAGGGAGGGAGAGGCAAAGGGAGAGACAGATCTCTCCCACCCACTGGTTCACTCCTCAAATGGCCACAAATACCAGGGCTGAGCCAGGAGCCTGGGACTCCATCCTGCTCCCCTACGTGTGCGTGCGGGCCCATGCACTTGGACCATTTTCTGCTGCTTTCCCAGACACCTTAGCAGGGAGCTGGGATGGCAGCAGAGCAGCTAGGGTTTTTCAGGGCCAGGGGTAGAGGAATGCAGAGTGCAGTCAGTCATGAGTTCAAATCTTGGGGCTGCCTATTCTTGCGCAGGTCCAAGTTATCTCCCTCAGAGCCTTCCTTCCTTGTAGCAAGTGTAATCAACTGGATTCTGAGTATAGACTCACAGAGAATGGAGTGGGGGTGGGGGTGTGGCTCCCAGATAACCACATCAGATTTTATTATTATTATTATTATTACTATTATTCTTCTAAGATTTGAGGCGCTGAGCCCAAGGTAGTAGCCTCGTGGCTAAAGTCCTCACCTTGCCTGTGTCTGGGAACCAGTTTGTATCCTGGCTGCCCCACTTCCCATCCAGCTCCCTGCTTGAGACTTGGGAAAGCAACAGAAAACGACCCAAAATCTCGGGACCCTGCAGTAGTGTGAGAGATCTAGAAGAAGCTCCTGGCTCCTGGCCTCAGATCAGCTCAGTTCCAACTTAAACAGTCATTCGGGGGTCAACCGGTGAACCTAAGATGTCTCTGTCTGTAAATCTGCTTTTCCACTAAAAAAAAAAAAATCCTTATAAAAAAAAATCACTTGAAAAGCTGTGTGAGAGAGGTGTGGGCTAGGCCCAAGCAGGAGTTTCGTCTGGGTCTTGCACATGGGTGCAGGGGCCCAAGGACTTGAGCCATGTGCTACTGCTTTCCTAGATTCTAAACAAGGAGTTGGAAGTGGAGCAGCTGGGATATGAACCAACACTCATATGGGATGCGGGCACTGGTTTTACCCAGTGCAACACAACGCCTGCCCCTCTACACACATTTTTTTAAACGTGATGGCTGGGCATGGCTGGCAGGTGGTTTTTTTTTTGTTTGTTTGTTTGTTTTCCCACCAAGCTCTGGCAGCGCCTTGGCTACTAGTACCCACTGTGCTGTCCCAGTAGGTGCTGCTGACCAAGCAGGCACGACCCTCCACGCCCCCCGCGCAGAGTGGACGCTCTGTCCATGGCGAGGGGTGCACACACTCAGGCCGGGAGAACAGGAGGAGAGGAGGCGTCGGGGGGGGCGCGCCTAGCACCCCCAGGGCCACCCCAGGGGCGCCCAGAGGGTCCCAGGGAGGTCAGGGGGAGGGCAAGATGGAGGCCAGGCGAGGCCCGGGGGCGGGGCCTGGCGGAGGGCGGGGCCTGTATTGTCCGCTCCGCGGGGCATGCCGGGAGCCCCGCCCCCATCATGGCGTCTCCCTGACAGTTGGCTGCTGAGAGGCAGAGGCGGATCCTGCTCCTCAGGGCGGCGGCGGCGGCGGCGGCGGCGGCGACGGCGGCGGGGCCGGGGTCTCCCGGGCCGGGCTTGGAGGCGGATGGCGGCTCGGACCGCTTAGGGCGGAGCTGCAGGGGCGAGGCGGCGGCTGCCATGGGCTGGTGAAGGCGGCCGCGGTCTCCTCAGCCGGCGTCCGCCCTCCGAGCCGGGGGCCATGGGTTCGTCGGCGGCCGCGGCGGCTGCGGCGGCGGCGGCGGCTGCGGCTGCGGACTCGGCGCAGTGGCTCTCGGTGAAGGAGGAGACCATCTTCCTGCACGACGGGCTGATCCGGGTCACCGACCTGGCCGAGCTGCCCAGCGAGATTCTCGGGGCGCCCGAGGCCGCCGACACCGACCTGGAGGTGAGCGAGGCCGCCCCCTCCCCACCCTCCTGCGGCCCCGCACCCCTCGGGGCTCGGGGCCGCGCGGCAGGTGCGTGCGGTGCGGGGCAGGTGCGGGCCGCCGCTGCCGCAGGTCTGCAGCCCGCCGCTGCCGCTCCCTTTCCACCCCCTTCCCTCTCTGTCTCCGCGGGGATTTCGTTTGCGGCTTCATGTTTGAACGTTCTCGACTCCAACCTTTTTATGGAGAGCATCACCCCGAAACGGCCTTCACAACCCCCCAAACCCCTCCGCCACCTCCCCCGCGACCGCTCCCCACCCCCAGCCCTCCAGACTCACTTCCAGGGCACACCCAGGTTGCTCAGCGTTGGGGGGGTCTTTTTTATTTTTAATGCTGCACACCCTCCTAATAGCCCCCCTCTCCCCTAGTTGTGTGTTGACTGTGTTTTCCTCCTCCGCCGCCCCCCACCCACCCCGCACCTCCAAGCCCCGGGGAGAGGAATATAGCAGCTGCCGGTTTCTGCGATGGGCAGCCAGCAACTTGTCGTCGGTGGCGTTCCTCGGGATTGACGGGGAGGGGTGGGGGGCTTTGTCAGGGAAGCTGGCGGTGTGGAGAGCCGGGGACGGGGGTGGAGGTGATGCTTGGCGGCTGAGGGTCACAGGCGCCTCAGGCCGCTGGGCCTGACTGTGTGCCCCCAGGGGGTCACGCAGAAGCCAGGGCTTAGGAACCCGAGGCAGGTGCAAAAAGAAGCAAGTCCCAGGGTTTGTGCTGCTGTTGGGTTTGGAGGGAGAAAAGCAATCGGACGTGTTCGGCGGATGGGAACTTGGCCGTGACTGGGCTGTGTCTGACGCTGGCCCCGAGGTGGGCATGCAGGGCGGTGTTGATGCGTCCAGCTTGCAGGATTGCTGCTCCCCCTCCAGCTTGTGGGGTGACATCTTGATGTGTAGGTAGCTCGGGGTGTCATGAACTGCGCTATGTCGCGAGGAGAGCTGTCAGGGAAGGCGGGGCGGTGCAGGGCGCGGGGAAGACGGACTGTCGGGACTATAAACAGACCGTGAGGCATCTTTTGTGTTTTGCGGTTTTGCTGCACTTTGGCTCTCAGCGCTAGGAACATTAATAGAAATGGACTAGAACCCATTACTGCTTGTTTCTGCAAAGAGATGGCCATGGACGAGACCTGGGGCGCTCCTGAGACGGATTCCTGCCTGTTTTTGTGTCTGGATTGGAGGTGACTTCAGCATTTCCGCGTGCACCTTCCCATATCGACTGGTTATACAGTCTGGCCACCAAAGCCTGCAAGATGACAAGTTGCTAGGGAATTCCTAATGTGGGGTCAGCATTTTATCACACCTCCCTCGGGCCTGCTCTATAAAAAGGAAGGTGTGTCTGAGGTTATCTGCCTGAAAACTCAATGGTTCCATGCCATGATGATGGTGGAGTCTTTGGATTTAATTGACTCTCTGGCGTGGGAAAGGTAGGAGGCTGGAGCGCTTTGTTCCTCGGAGACTTAAGTTCGTGGAACCGAATATACATACATACGTATATTTTCCCTCTATGGAATTTATTTTTAGAATTAGAAAGAAGGGTTAGTTAAAATGCCTGAGCTCTGAACTTGTCTCTCCTGAAATGTTTACTGACTGTGTAACTGAATTGGGTAAGTGTGCAGCGATTTCCTCAGAATGATTTCAAGAGAAACAATCTCTGGCCTAGAAGATTGAGGTGTTTTTGTTTGTTTGTTTGTTTGTTTGTTTTCCTTTTTGAAATTTATGATCTGATCTCTCCCAGTGTGCATGAGTGGTAGCAAGGAAAGACTTTTTACATTTTATCCCACCTGTTGTTTTGGGGGGGCGGGTACATAGTATCAGGTGATGGAGGAAACTGAGTTTTTTTGTAGCTGTTGGCTTTGTGCTTAGGTGCATTCACAGTTAGTCCCCAGTACTGACGAAGTGCCTGCTGTGTGGCAGGCATCCTCTTCCTACATTCGTAAGGACCTGAGCCTTGCTCTTCGTTGTAGTAACTGCACATGCTGTACCTATTGCACAGTAGTCGGTCGGCACGTGGCTTGCTCCGCATCACCTGGTCAGAGCACCTGGGGGTGAACCCAGTTCTGTTGTTGGTGTCAGACACGAGCTCCTCCTCGTGGTACTTCCCAGCCCCTTGTGTGTGTGATAGTCTCCTGGCTAGCTGCAGATGGAATCCTACACAGATGCTCTATTTCGCTTTTTCATAGCCATGACCTTCTCAGATTTGGGGGCGATTTGAGGGTTATCCATTTTTTCACAAGTTAGCTTTGAAATGTTACCGCTGCTATCAACTGCCACTCACCTCCAAGACTCTCCTTTCTGTCAGTAACTGGGATGAATAATGGCCATTTTCCATAGTTTATAATTATGTGGAGTCTCCAGTTAGCAATTTTGGATTATGAAGGATGAGTCTGAAAATCAGTGTAGTAATTTATGACTGGTGGCCTTGAAGAAGGGACTTAGAGCTTTCGTCCAAGGAGAGGCCTTTAGAGATGATTGTTTACTGCATTCTGGAAAAAAGTTACCTTTGCTCAGGGCAGCTTATGACTTGGGCATTTGGTGTAGCTGCTCAGGACAGTTTTCTTGTCTCTGAATTCCAGTGTTGTTGTCACTTTCTAAGGGCTGTGCAGAGCTAAAGGTCAGACTGAAAACAGTCCATCCTAAGGAGCCGTTCAACACTGACGTAGTGTTTTCATTTAGCAAGAACATGGCGTCAAAATTAAAATTGCTCTAGTGGGCAAATTTTATATATATAATTTCCATGTGGGGCCGATGCTGTGTTGTCTGGATGCCAGTGTGCCACATGGGTGCTGGCTGGAGTCCCTGCTGTTCCACGGCTGGTCTACATCGTGACTGATGAGCCCGGGCAGGCAGGAGAGGATGGCTCTGGTGCTTGGCCCCCATCCCTATGTGGATGTCCTGGATGAGGTTCCTGGTTTCATCCTGGCCCAGCCCTGGCTGTTGTCATCTGGAGAGAGAGCCAGTAGATAGAAGATCTTTCTCTAAAACAAAACAAAATAAAGCAGTGTGTAGTCAACAAGTTTGTTCAAGTCTTTGCAATTCAGAAGTGAACTGAGCCCACTGGGAGTTAGGGATAGAGCAGTGCATGAAAATCTGTTCTCAACAAGCTTACATTACAGGGACTGGGCGCTGTGGCATTGCATGTTAAACCACTACTTGTGTCGCTAACTTCCTGTTTTAGAGCAGCAATTTGAGTCTTAGCTGCTCTGGTAAATGTGCTTGAGAAAGCAGTGGACGATGACCCAAGTGGAAGATGACCATGTGGGAGACCTGGCTGGTGTCCCAAGCTCCTGGTTTCCGCTTCACCAAGCCCTGGATGCTGGCAGCCATTTGAGAAATAAATCATTGGATCTGGTTCATAACCTGAGGGGATCTTTCTCTCTTTCTCTGTGCCTCTCCTCTGTCACTCTGCCTTGCAAATATCTTTTTAAAAAAACTACTGATATTTTATTGAGATGAGATACAGGCCATACTGAATAACTGATTATTTAATGTGACATCTATGTAACCTCTCTGAAGCTGTGGCAGATTGGCTCCGCGACCCTCCACAGCTACCCAGACGCTCTGGCCCCCTTATGTAAGATGGCGTACCAGCTGTGTCTAGCTCGCATGCAGCCCCCAGCATACTTTAAGTCCTCTTTACACAGGCTGTGAAATGTGCTGCCAGGTCAGCACTGTGGAAATCGGTGCTGAGTTGTATTGTCTGGGGCACAGTGACAAGCAGGCCTGTGAGTGTGCCGTGCTGACAGTCCCGAGAGGCCTCCTGCGTCATGCACCAATGGGACTCAAGGCCCGGAGTGCTGAGACAGGGGTCCCTCTGCAGGGAGGCCGCCGCAGGGGCTATGTGCACGTCACTTCATGCCTGTGGGTTCAGCATGGTGCTTGGCATGTGGCTTACTGAGCTCTTTAGAACTTTCTGGATGGTTTTTACCCCCTCAAATGTTTTAAGGCTGTGCTCGGCAGACTCCATAGGTGTGGAAGGCAAGGTTACAGAGAGCTGACTGGGTGTGTGCACGTGCAAGCACTGTGTGCATCCATACAGCTTTTAAGCAGAGACCCAAGGAAGTGAAGGAATGTGCCATGTGGCTGGGGGAGGGCACAGCCCGTGCCGAGAGGACGGCGGGGACCACGTTCCTGAGAGGGAAGGCAAGCAGGGAGAAGAGGAGCAGGAGCAGGCTGTGCATCTGCAGGGGCTGTGCATCCGCAGGGGCTGTGCATCTGCAGAGGCTGTGCGGCCTCAGGGGCTGTGGGCAGCATGTTTGGATCTTAATTAAGTGAATTAGGAAGGTGGAGTGAGGTTTTTCATTGTCTTTTTGTGTTTTTTTAAAGATCTGTTTTATTTTTTATTGGAAACTCAGATATACAGTAAGGAGAGACAGAGAGGAAGATCTTCTGTCCATTGATTCACTCCCCATATGGCTGCAGTGGCCGGTGCTGCGCTAATCTGAAGTCAGGTACCAAGAGATTCTTCCAGGATTCCCACGTGGGTGCAGGTTCCCGAGGCTTTGGACCGTCCTGACTGCTTTCCCAGGTCACAGGCAGGGAGCTGGATGGGAAATGGAACAGTAGGGGCTTGAACCTGTGCCCAAATAGGATGCTGGTGCCTTAGGTGGAGGTTTAGCCTACTGTGCCACCACGTCATCCCCTCAATCAAGATACTTCTTATTGCATAGTTTAGACCACATTTTTTAGAAACTTGTTTTCATTTTGTTTAAAAAAGCAGAAAGAGAAAGAGCTTTCATGTACTGGCTCACTTTCCAAATGCCTATAGCAAGTAGGGTTAGGCCACACCGAAGCCAACAGCCTGCAGCTCTGTGTGGGTCTCCTTGTGGATGGGACAGCTCCAGGCACCGGAGCCATCGTGTGCTGCCCCGGGGTACGCGTCACTAGGAGTTGGGTTGGGAGTGAAGGAGTGGGGACTGAAAGCCAACATTTCAATGTGGGAACCTAAATAGTGCCTTAACCACTGCACCAAGTCC